GAATATGACCAGATGAAGATAAGCAAGGGGAGGCCCAGATGAAACCAATCCTCTGTCTGAATAGAGAGTGTAGGCTGTCGGGCACCTGCCCTGAGCTCAGGTGCCTGCCTGGCCCCAGTGGTGCAAAACCCTCTGGGTACACTTGGGCAGATGCAACTGTGGGGTGGAGTTGGTCAGTGTGACACTGTCACACTGTGGGGTGTCAGATGGAGCTGGTCAGTGTGACACTCTCACACTGTGGGGTGTCAGATGGAGCTGGTCAGTGTGACACTCTCACACTGTGGGGTGTCAGATGGAGCTGGTCAGTGTGACACTCTCACACTGTGGGGTGTCAGACGGAGCTGGTCAGTGTGACACTCTCACACTGTGGGGTGTCAGATGGAGCTGGTCAGTGTGACACTCTGTGGGGTGTCAGATGGAGCTGGTCAGTGTGACACTCTCACGCTGCAGGGCGTCAGCCTGGCCCTGGGTGTCTGAGTCATGAAGGGTGGGATGTGCCACACCTTGTTTCCCCTCCACCAAAGCAAGCCCAGCAGTGTGACACAAAGTAAAGGAGTTATGTTAGAGCCCTGATCCCACCATCTGACCCCAATGGGTGGACTCCCACAGTGATCTCACCCTGACAGATTACTCAGCTTCACAAGTAGCAGAGAAAGGTCATGCCCAGTTAAAACCAAAATGTGCTTTCTCGCAGCTGTTTCCCCCTTGGGCCAGAGGCTGTATCCCTGACTTGGGCAAAGATCCAATTGGAAATAATGAATGTAATTACCTTGTAAGCACCTCAGTGGAAAATATTGGTATAGTTAATTATACAGGGATGAAATGCTAACCTATTTCCTAGTGTTTAAAATTCAAATATTAATGCTTTCTCCTTTGAGGTTTTGAGAAGATTAGTTATTGCTGCAGTCCAACTGAATTGATAAGGCTTTCAGCTATTGCAATCATTTTAATCAGAAGGTTTCTAATACAGGTTTAACATCAATGGCTGGCATCATGTGCAAGAGTGTTACTCTGCACAGAGCTGGGGGTTTGAGTCCTCCTGCAAGAACGAGGGCCCCTTTGGCCATGGCCCTTTAAGCATCCAACACTGAGATTTCTTTCAAAGGATGTTTGATTTTAACGTTCTCAAACTGAAGATAAGAAACTCACACACTGACTATCTAGAGAATTGAAATTTGAGTATCAGGATGAAGGATACCCAAAACCTAGGACTTGGGTACCTTTCAAGAAATCCTGACAAACTGGCTACGTGAAAATGTGCCTGTCTTTCATTAAGGATCATAGGAAACAGTGTAATAAACTCGCAGCATGGACTGAGCATGTACTGTAGTATTTTCACATTATGGTTGATTGACTTTCCAGGTGTTGAACAAGGAACCTGTTATTTCTATGTCAGTCTGCCTGAAAAGCCCCATCACTTTCAGCCCCATCACTTTTTGAGCAAATGAGCAAAAGCCACTTCATGTGCTTTGCTTGCCTTGGGATTTGATAGCAGTTGTTAACATTTTTGAACTATATGTACCCTAGCAGATATTCATAGGTCAAAACCTGAAAAAGTTCAACTCTCTTCTCACATCTCTGCAAAAGTAGTGGAGAAGATTTATGAAAATAGAAGCCTGTCCTGAGATTCCCTTGAAGCTATCTGAGAAAGCTTTTCCAGGGAAAAAAAAAATAAAGGAGACAACAGCACTTTGGGTATAGGTCTTATTATTTAGCAACAATCACATTTTGAACAAGGCCACATCTTCCTGGCAGGAGCCAAAGCCACAGCAGCAGCACAGGGCCTTGTGCACCTGCCCAGGAAAGAAGAGGGCAGGGACAGACAGGCACAATGCCCCACTGGGGATCCCTGACACAGAGAGGCCCAGACTTCTTAGGCTGCCATGGGAATTATTAATGAGGCCACAATTGGGAAATCTATCCCGGCAGCTTTGGAGACTGCTGCTTCAACAGAGAGCAGTGTTTGCCCCCATGCCCTGCTGCAGGAAGCAGGGCCATGCACTCCAAGCAAAGGGGAGACCACTAATAAAAAACGCTTTTATCTAAATACTTCCTTGACAAATAATCCTTACAGTGGTGCTGCTTTTCAGTTTTGTGCCTGTTCTGCTGCAACAGCAGCTCACCGGAGCCACAGAGGCTGCCCGTGCTCAACAGCAACAAGGATGGATCAGTCACCACCCTGGCTTTTGAATACATTTCCATATGCCATGCACTGAAAAAAACTAAGGAAGCAGCTCCCCCAAAGGAAACCAAAACCACCATCCTCTAAAAGCTGCCAGACAGGTATTTCACCCAGTGGAAAAAAGCCAAATAAAAACATGTGTAGGCAAGGGGCAAACTCTGGTCTAGTTCAATAATATCTCCATGAATCACAACACTGCTCTCACAAGTGTCAGCATAGATTCTTTTAATACTTTACATAAAAAACTGCATACACTATAGTTTATGTAAACATCATATACATCTCAGTTTTTGCCATGTCAGTTTATTAAAAACAGTCTCAGTACCACTGTTGAGGGAAGAGGGAAGAAAGTAAACAAACATAAATGGATACATTTGTTCTCTGAACCAGAGAAACAGAAAATTATTTTCACCCAGGCTGGCCACCTTGTGAAAATAAGTTTTAAATAAACCTTGATTCTTTAAACTGCCCTTTAGTACTAAAGTCTGATGTACTCACTGCATAAGTAAGAGTGCTTTCACCCTTTTTTCCCAAGGCAAAAATATACAGTGATTTTATTTTGTCTTGTGTTGAAATCAGTTTTAAACAAGACCCAGATGAGGTTACTGAGTAAGAATGTTTCCAATGCTACAGTGTTGTATGCAGATGAGCGCATTGAGTGTTTAATTTAAACATTAAAAAATTCACCGAGTTGTGCAAAGTAACATCTTTTGAAAATAAACTTTTAAATAAACCCAAATCAACACACTTGCAGGAGACAACATTAAAAGTAAGGAGCAGGCACCAAAATCATAATATGGCAATATCATCCCCTTGCTCATCCTGCCTCATCTGTCAGGAGGTGGATATCCAGCAAGCAGGACAGCTCAGCTTTACTTTCTGGCCTGGTGGCTTCTGCAGCTGGAGTCGGTTCATGGCTCCTGTTATCAGCAGGCATCAGTCACTCAGGGCAAGTTCCTTTGCACAACACAACTCCCACCTGGGCACCCCCTCCCCACCTCACTTTAAATATGCACCCCCTGCACTACCCCAGTTTGCACAAGACAAAAAAGGTAACATATATACAGGCTTCGCTTGGGATGACCCTCCCCTCCCAGTCTCGGTCTTCAGGGCACTGATTTCCACAGCAGGTCAGGCTCAGGCTGAAACATGTGAGGGAGAAGCAAGGATGCTGCAGGCAGCCTGGGAGAGGCAGCCCCTTTCCCCAGCTCGCCTGGGTGGAGGCACATGCAGGCAGGAGGCAGAAGTCCCTTCGAGCATCTCAGCTCCACCGCCCTCCTCTTGCAAAAGAGAGGAGGCTGCCCGGGAGCAGGGAGCAGCAGGTGTTGGCAAAGGGGCAGAACCGGGTGCAAGGTTTGCTCAGTCCAGTCTCAGCAGCTTTTTGTTGTTGAGTCCACGACTAACTCGCAGGGGCCAGCGGGAGGAGAAGGCTTCTCCCCACTTTATTCCCAAGACTCAGGGCATGCAATCCCCCCCCTCCCTCTGTCCCCGCGGCTGAGCAAGCACAACCCTTTTTGGCCAAGGCTCAAGGAGCGTGCTCCCTGCCTTAGCCCCCACCCCATGCACAGCCAGTCCCTGGCGGAGGGGACAGGCAGATGCCGTGTGCGCGTTTAACCAGCTCCTCTCCACTGCCAACAGGTGACCCGGGCGCCGTGCCCAGCGCCGCGCTCCAGACACGCCCTACAGGACCTTGCAGCAGTTGATGCAGCCGTTCTGGGTGCCGTAGCGCTTCTGCAGGGCTGCCCGGGTGGCAGTCTCGAAGACCTCCCGGACACCCTCCTTGGTCTTGGCCGAGCACTCCAGGTAGTCGTAGGCCTGGATGCGAATGGCCATGGCCCGGCCGTCCTCGGTGCGCACCGGCTCCTGCTTCATGCGGGCCAGCTCGTTCCGCACGTGCTCGTCGTTCCGCAGGTCCTTCTTGTTGGCCACCAGGATGATGGGGACGTTGGGGCAGAAGTGCTTGACTTCGGGCACCCACTTCTCCGGGATGTTCTCCAGCGAGTCCGGGCTGTCCACAGAGAAGCACATCAGGATGACATCGGTGTCCGGGTAGGAAAGGGGACGCAGGCGGTCATAGTCCTCCTGGCCAGCCGTGTCCCACAGGGCCAGCTCCACCTGCTTGCCGTCCACCTCGATGTCCGCCACGTAGTTCTCAAAGACGGTGGGCACGTAGACCTCGGGGAACTCGTCCTTGCTGAAGACGATGAGGAGGCAAGTCTTGCCACAGGCACCGTCCCCCACCACCACCAGCTTCTTGCGGATGGCAGCCATGGCCAGGCTCGCCAAGCTGGCCTTGCCGTGCAGCAGGACGATGGCAGCGCCCTCCTCCCCGCGGCCGCCGCCTCCCGCTCCCTCTCGCTTCTCACAGGGCACCGTGGCGAGCCGGCCCGCGCAGGCAGGCGGGCGCGCCCTGCTCTCTCCACTCACCGGCACCGCGCCGCCGGACTCTGCCTCGCGGGAGCGCTACGGCCGCAGGGCAGCGCCGCCGGCCCCGGAGCTCTGCGGTGGGAGCGGTGCCGCCGGTTCTCGCCCTCACTGCACAGACACGCTCGGGACCCGCTCCGCGCAGCCACTGCCGCAAGCTGCGGCCCGGCGCCGCTATTTAAAGGCGCTCGCGGCTTTCTTAATATAGCTGGCCAATGGGAAGGCAAGGAGTGAGGTCATCCCCGGCGGAGAGCGCTGCGATTGGCGGGCGGCCGCGGGCGGAAGGCGGGGCCGAGGCGGGGCCGAGACGGGAGGGGGGAGCGGCTGGGCCGGGGCAGCGCGCCCGGGGTCGCGGCGGGCGGAGCCGCGCTGGGGCGGCTGGGGCTCCGTGAGCCCGGTGCGAGCCCGGTGCGAGCCCGGTGCGAGCCCGTCCCCGGTGTGAGCCCGTCCCTGGTGCGAGCCTGTCCCCGGTGTGAGCCTGTCCCCGGTGTGAGCCTGATGTGAGCCCGTCCCCGGTGTGAGCCCGTCCCCGGTGTGAGCCCTCCCGGCCCGGGGATCCGGCCCCGGGGATCCCAGCGCCGGTGCCCGCCGCAGTCTCGCCGCTCGGGATGGCCTGTGTGAAGAGGCTGGGCGGGCACCCGAGAGGAACGGGAGACACCGCTGCGTTCCAGGTGCTGCTTTTAAAGTCCGGGCAAAGTGAACAGAGAGCATTGCAGGCGGGTGAATAAAATAAAAGCGTCCGCTGGGTGCTCCTGGAAAAGTGCTCGACTCCCTTCCTTAAAAAATTCATCACATTCGACTCTCGCCAGCTCTTGGCCCAAAGGGAGCAGCGGAATTGCAAACCGGGAGAAGCAGCAGGCTTGAACTGAATTGGCCTTTGGGTCTCAGTTTACAGGGATATCGGAACTCACAGCAATGAAAAAATGAACGTGGATAATAAAGGGGCGCAAAGCCCTGTAGTGAGGGGTTGCTGGGAGGGCAGGATGCGAGTCCCTTGACAGGAGGAGCTGGCTGGGCTGAGCTGGGCCGGGCTGGGCTGAGCTGGGCTGGGCTGGGGCGGCCGCAGTGCCGGGGAACAGGCGGACACCGCCGGCAGCGACGCGCTCGGTCCCTGTTGCAGCTGTCGCTGCTCAGCCGGGTGGTGTCCCAAACTTCTTCCCTGCGAGCTTTTCCGCACAGGCACAGATGTCCTGTGGCTACTGCCTCTCGGGGTTTGATTCGAAGTGTCCCGTTTTCCTAGCCAGTTCCAGCATTAGTGAATGGAACAAAAATGAGTGGTTTGTATAATAGTGTTGTTATTAAAAATTGTATTTTAAAATACCCACTTGGAGAGTGAATGCATCACTGAGTACACCAAATTGCCTGACAAGTTACTTGCAGCAGACTGTTACAGAGGGGTGTGTGTCAATAGGGCAAAAAGTTCGTTTAATCCTAGACATTGAAATAAAATTAATTCTCTGTGAGATTTCTGTAATACCAGTTTCTCCCAATCAAAAGAGCATGTTCCTGGATGCTGATGGATTAACTTCTACCTTGATCTTACAGGGGTTTGTACAGCATATTTTATATGAACATAATAAATTCAAACTGATTTTTTTAAAGAATCCAGCAATAGAGTGTAGACATAGACATGGATGTTCTTCAGTACCTATGGCCTTCCAGGGAGCCAAATTTCTGGCTTGCATCATCCCTTTAAATCCGTTGTCACGGCTCACAGGCTTCAATTCTTCACAAAACTGTGTGGAAATCGCCCCGCTGCTGCCACGTCCTCCTGGCGATGATGCACGGGCAGCTTGCAGCTGTTTTCTCCGCAGTCCCAAGCGGCGAAGGCCGCTCGGCGAGGCAGCCGGGGGGGTTTGCTGTGGATTCCCGTTCCGTGGATTCCCGTGCTGTGGATTCCCGTTCCACGGAATCCCGCGGACTCGCCGCTCCCCCCGCGCCGCGCCGACCGCGGGGCCCCAGCGCCCTCTCGCGGCAGCTCCGCGCCCTGCACCGCCCCGCGCCCGCGCCTGCGCCCTGCGGCTCCGCGGCTGGAAAAACCACCGCTGGAAAAACTACCGCTGGAAAAACCCACCTCTGCGGCGGCAGCAGGAGAAGCTGCGACTGCTTCACCTGGCGTGAGAGGTGCTGCTTAAATATACTTCTGATTCCGCTTGTATTTGACTTTTGAATCATGACTGGGTGTTTGGTTTTGTCTTTTCAGGAGCAAAGTGTTTTGTTAAATAGAAAAAGGATTAATGCAAATGAGCAGTTACGTATATTGACTCATCTGTGCTGTGCCACCGAAGGCAGGTAAATAAGCAGTTTGTTCATTTCAAAGCACACGGCTCTATTGTTGCCCAGAGTGCTGCTTAACTCTTTAAAGGCTTCCAAGCAGGGTGACCTCATCCAAATTGTCTGCTGGTTCCAGCTTCCAAATTGTGCAAAGGAATTACTCCACAAATGTCCAGCTAGCTCAAGTTAAGTCCACAGCATGAATTTTTCTTGTAACTGAGCAGTATACATATATTTGCAGCACCCAGTTATGGTCTGCGCCATGACTTAATGGCTCATGCTTAATTTTCAAGTCTCACGTATCTAGTCTTCCACACAGTTGCACTGAAAGCAAAGTGCCTGATGTTTCATCTCTCACCTTGCAAGACAGACTTCAGCAAAGGCTATGTAACTCCTTGACCAAGGCTTTCAAATGCTTTATAAGTCTTTTTCCCAGAAGCTTTATATCATGAGACTCAGCCCTGTGACCAACTCAGGCTGAGCTCACACCCCATTTCACTGTCCTGGGGTGCACTCCAGCAACATCCTCTGTGGGGAACATCTCAGTCAATGTGGCTATTACACATCTGTAATTAGTGAATATATCCAGCTCATGTATTTTAGGGCTGAATTTTAACTGACATTGTAGCTTTTATATTTTCTGCATGAATCTGCATGATATAAACTGTAGTTCTTTATGCAAGCTGAATCTTCACTTCTAGTTATCTGTTCTAGTGCAAAATGTGCACTCTCTAAGCATACTGTTAGTTCTGCTGCACCACATACATCTGTATGATTGAGGAAGAAAGCATGAAGTAGGACAAAGAAGACATCACTTGTTTGTTTTTATTGCTTGTGCGGATGGTTTTGAGATTAAAACTCAGATTTTGGGTTTTTGGGTTTTGTTTGGGTTCTTTTGGGGTTTTTTGTTTGTTTGGTTGGTTGGTTTTGTGTTTGTTTGTTTGGTTGGTTTGGTTTGTTGGGGTTTTTTTTAATCCAGGTGGCATTTTTTTGGTTGAGAATAAATTCCTGTCAATTACTGGTGATTGTTTCCAGATTATATTCCCCCCCTCCCACCCCCCGCTCTTCTTCTAAGCAGATTTTCTAAAGGGCATGTCTGTAACTCAGATACGTTGTGTTCAGGTGTAAATCTGTACCAAAAGCATGAAAGCTCAGTGGGGAAGGCAATCTTTCTCCTTTCTGTCAATAAGTAGGCAAGTAAGTACATTGCCTGCTGCGGCATAACATGCTGAGGGAGCCACGTGTCCCCTAATGGCACACCAAGTCCTGCGTGCTGGCTTCTAATGCCAGCATCAGGCATCCTGCAGACCTCATGCAGGCAAAGCTTCTCAGCAAAGTGAGGAAGGCAAGAGGCAGTGCAACATGAGCAGGTCACAGGCTAGTGTGGAAAAGCTCTGGGTAGATGTGAGAGAATGGGCAGAAATGGTATCTGTCCCCCTAAGAGAAGAGCTTCTGGCACATTTAGGAACCAGACCTTGCTGTGTGTCACCACAGGTCCATTGCTTTTCAGCCGTTCCTGGAGGAATGCAGAGTTTAACTCTCAGAGCCAGGATCAGCACCCTCAGCAGGCAATCCAGACTGATCTGCCTAGAAACTGGAATGCCAAGGCACAGCAGGAGAAGGTGAAATGACCTGTGTGTTTTCATACAGATGCTTATGCGAAGTACAGTGCACATGAAAGCTCACCAGCCAAAAAAAATGCTTTCATGACGAAATAGCTGTATAGGATCCACTGGCATTGTTCTTCCAGAGAATAAGAGAGGTCAGTTAGAAGCTGTTTGTTTTGATTTTTTCCAGTTCTTATAGCAAGACTGTAAAATTCAAACTTTAATAGGACTCAGGAAATATGGGTTGCCTGAGTAAAATTATACCACTACAGTCAGTACATTAAAGTGACCTTTTGTCTCCAGCTGAGTTCAAATTAAATAAAAACAAGTGCCTCATCCTTAGGCAAGAATTTTTCGACCTACAGTGCCTCATCTCAGTTGAAGAACTCTTCTGTAGCTTAATGAAATAAATGAGCTGACCATATAACTCTTATGGATACTCACGATGTTACATGTCTACATCACCAATGATGCCTTTGGAAACAGTTCTCTCTGCAGAGAGACCAAACTTGTTACCCTCTGGTTCCCTTTGTTCTCAGTTTTTACTGACTGCAGACACCTTGCTGTCTTGGTCTACCAGGAAAACTAGTAAAAATTGCTTGTCCAATGCCAGGATAGCAGGGAATTCAGTCTCTCTATCTGGAGTTTAAAAAATATCCTGAACAGTGGGAAGTTATTTGTTTTTAGGCTCTCCAGTGAATGTACTTCATTCCACTATTTTCAGGATGCTCAGACTCTGGAAAAGGCTGCCCACAGAAACTGTGGAGTCTCCATCCTTGGGCATATTCAAAACCCAACTGGACACTGTCCTGAGCAACCTGCTGTAGTTGATCCTGCTCTGAGCAGGGCAGGGTGGAGTAGATAACCCCTCCTCACCTCATCCATTCTTTGATTCTGCAGTTCATTTGTCTGTGATGCCTCAGCAGATCTGAAAAGTGATGTTTGGAGGGTCTCTCTTGCAGGTCTACTCCTGTTTCACACTCCAGCACTGTCAGCCCACATTCCACCAGGGAGTTTGGCACACTCAGTTCTGAAGTGCTCGCACAGGATGAGTCTTTTGCAATAGGAACAAGGAAACTTCTGAAGTAAGCATGTGATTTATTAATGATTTGTGTAATTTCCACTTTATTGGCAGTAGATTTCTTTAAAAAGCAATGATGTCATATGGTTCTCCATGTAGATTTATTTGCTGTATTAAGATACATTAACCTATTCCTTTAATTACTGTGGTCTTCATGGTGGTCTTTGAAGTGTGGTAGTCATTTCTCTCTGTAGGGGAAACTGTGACCTGAGGAAGCTGAGGCAGCAACAATATTAGAAGAAACTGCTCTGAGGGAAGGTGGTTGATGCTGGCAATTACTATCCTGTAAGTCTAACAAACTTCTATTTCATATAAATTAACCATGACTCTATGAGGACTGAGAACACTTTCTTAATTCCCACATGATCAATGCTCTATGAGCAAAAGCAGCATGAGTGCACACAGAAGAGCTTATTACCATTGTAGAATTCCACTAACATATGAGAAAATGTAAATAAAACCAATTTGGAAATTTATTCACTGCAGTGTTTTACATCCCATCTCACTCACAAAATTAAGTTGTTCAATCTAAAAAAAAAAATCTGTTACAGACTGAACACTGACCATAAACAATATCTGATATGATAAAACAGAAATACAGGGTACTGCAGGAGTCTTGGTTACATACAGATTTGGCTTATACCTTAATTTTTTGATTTATAATATTAGATAAGAACAGGGTAGTCACAATTTCAGAAAATTGTGGTGTCAGAGAAATTGAAAGACAGAGAAAAATAGGGGGAAAAGGTAAGACAGGAGTATAGGGAGAAAAAAGGAGATAAGGGAAATTCCAAACTAATGGAATTTCTCTTCTCTCCTCATTCTACCCTTCACAAAAGCTTAAAAAAAAAAAAAAAAAAAAAAAACAACAAAACCAAAAAAAAAACCCACATCCTGGGAATATGTCGTTTTATGCTTCATCTTTTAGGAGAAAATTAGCTGTAGCTGGAGATCACCCCTGTGGTAAAATATGCTTCATCTTTGCTCTGTGCCATGAACACCTTCCCAAGTCCTGTGAGCCAATGCTGACACTACTGACACAGAGATAGAAGTGGAAGAGATGATTCTTGGATGTGGATTCTTCATTCTCTTGGATGTGTCAGTGAAGGATAAAGTGAGTTACTGAAATCTCTGCCCAGAGTTCCACAAGGATGTAGACATCTACAGATATTACTTTTATGTGCTTCTTCATGGACACGATTGGCTTACAGCAAAACATCCTTGATTTTTGGGTTCTGGAAATCAAAGTGTTCTGCCTCACAGTACCTATTATTCCAGTGACTGCCAAGATAGAACTAAGGTATTAAGAATAAATTACTCCAGGCAAGGAGACAATTAACACTACAGAAGGAAAAGCTTAGGATGCCAGCATTGGGGCATATGCTTACCTGGGCTGTTCTACCAAGACAAAAGAAGGTGATGATAGAGGCCTGGAGATCATTTACCAAGTGCATTACGTGAGGAAAGGAGGACAAAAAAAACCACTACAGGCACTGCCAAATTTTGTGAGAAGGGAACATTATTTTGTGGTTGGATTTCATCATATAGAAAGGTAAGCAGATATCTTTGTTGCTGTTGTGTTTGTGTTTATATGTTATAAGAGGAAAACATCACTTATCTGCAAAGCATCACACTTGAAAACTGGATTTATTTCTTTCTCCACCTCCAATACAGGCTGAAGAGAGCAATTCTAAGTTTGAGATGTTGAACCAGTCCTGAGAAATGGAAACGAGCAAGCTACCATTCTCCATGGAAGGTTTTTGTTCAAGGGAGTTACACAGAGGCTAGGACAGAAAAACCAGCACTACTGGGACAAGCACAAGAACTTGTATTTTAGTGAATCTAATCCCAGGTTCCTGGTAGTAAGACTCAGTGGCAAACAACTGTGCTGACAAAGTTTCCTTCCATACACTTCCTTGAAGGGTGTCCTTAGGGAAGTGTGTCACACACAAGTATCCAATAGTCTGCTGTCTAATAGGAGTGGGTTTCTGACTGGCAGAGCAGGTCTGCCTTCCTCTAGGATTCATTTGTAAAGCTGGCCCAAGCTTGGTTCCATATATGCATCAGGAATGCAATGTATAGCATAAAGTACGATGGAGGCAGTGCTATCTCCACCTCTTCTTCAGGCACAGGTGAATAAACTGGGGTAAACCAGCCTAGGATCTGGGGTAGGATAGTCCAGTTCATTATTGAATTCCTACCTTAAAAGTAAAGAAAAAGACTAGACTTCTATTTCTACACCTCTTTGTTCTTATCATCTGAATGTATGGTAAATTTTTCTGTCTTTCTGTAGCACTTGCAGGAAGAGGACATAAAGAAGAGGGAATGCCAGCAACCATGCTGTCAACTTTGCAAGTCATTAACAATCTGGAAAGAGACTGAGAAGTACCGTCAACCTAAGCAGAACATTTCAGAGAGGCACAGAGATGGACCAAAATGTAAAGATTTTGGGTGCAAATCCCCATTCCTCCCTTCTGAGAAGCAGTGAGTCCTGGCAGCCCAAAGAATTGAGTTATGAAGTGAGATTAAAGGCACAAGGCTGGAAGCAGGCAAGTAATGTGCAGGGTTCGAAGACACATGCTGAAACACAGAAATGGACAGAGAAATATTCTAAGGAAAACCCCTTCTGCTCCTGAAGTAAAGGTACCGCTCTGAGTGCAACTGTCATGAACCAGGAGAACATGGAAGTCTGTCACTTTGTTTTGCTGCCTTCCTTGATGCTGGTGTCATCACTCTGGCAGCCTGGTTAAAGTTTCCCAGGAGGAAACAAAATGAGAAATTTTGTTTCCTCCTGGGAAAAGACAAAGACAAAATTTCTAAACAAAGACAAACTTCTAAACTGATTATGCACCTGGAGCTGTACACTTTGCAAATGAGCTTTTCCAGGTGAGAGACCTACCAAAATACACCATAAGATTTTTTTCTTACCCACTCTTCCTACCATTATTTGTTTATTGATGATATGATGGGTAGAAATTTTGGGGCTGGCCAAGTATTCAGTATTGGATGAATTGCTGCTTTCCCTCTGCGTCACTTTTTGGTAGCAGTTTGAAGTCCAGAATCACACTGTGCCATAACAACAAATGCTTCAAAGATGACATTTCCAAAAAGTACCTTTCTTCCAAAAATTTCTGAGTGCTTTTCAACATGAATTACCAGCCCATCTCTTGGTGATAAGTAGGTGTTATTTCCATCTTCAAACTGAGAAACTTAAACTGCTGCCTTAAGTAACTGTGAATCATCTATTTCCTGGAGCTTTCTTTTTCTTGTTTTCCATGCCCTTTCCCTTTTGTCTCCTAGGCCATTCTTAACCTCAATTTCTTCTCCCTTCTGTCTATAATAATCCCCTCGATGCCACCTGATGTTGTACCCAAACTTTAAAACTCTCCTACCGCCGTCCCTGCAGGCGACTTGGGCGTGCCCGTGTGCTGTGGGAAGTGCTCTCCTGCTTCAGGTAGTAGCATCAATTGAGCCTTTCAAAGAGCTGTATTTATGTAGATAGGTTTCAATTGTTATTTCCATGCAGTATGTGCATGTGTGGGTGGGGAGGATTAGTCTGCAGATAAGTTAAAGAGCACAGGTGTCTCAGGTGCCTCCGAGGTGGAGCGCTGAACTGGAGAGAGGCACTTTTGCAAAGATTCTGAGCACTTACTGCTCCCCCTGCTCGGAAAGTTCGGGCCACTTGGGTGAATCAGAGCTCAGCTGATGCTTTGTAAGACACTGGGCAGCATATTGGCTGATGTCTGTTTTCAGTCTAAATAAACAAGTGCTTTCCTCCAGAACGGTGGTTTGTTCAAGATAAGGGTAACTGGTTTCACTCTCAGTATTCACTGAACATATCTCCGAATAAAACTGTTGTTACACTGACCTTAGTTTCTGTTTCTTAACGTTAATCTCTTTATTGGTATTTTTAATGGGAAATAGAAAGTTGGCAATCTGTTTCCATTTTTTACTCCTCTGCAACTGGAAAAAAAGAAACTCAGGGGAGGTTTTTAATAATCTTGTCTTAACCTGTATAAATTCAAGTTTTTGCCACTTCTATCAAAAAATCAACGATCTCCCTCTGTATCTGTCTCAGAGCACTTTTTTCAAAAGATGTTTACTATGTGGCTAAGAAATTGATTTGGCTGGAGTCCATATTTAAGGGCATCTGTCTCCCAAGAGAAATACAGGCTGGATAGTTTCCTGTTCTGTATTTTAGCATTGTTCTGTGATCCAGCAGTCAGTGTATTATCCTGAGGCATCTGTATCCGGGGTTGCTTCTCTATTCCACCGCAGGCTATGTCTGCATGGCTGTACACATGAGGATGTGCATGTCTGCACTGCCAAGTAGCTGGAAAGAAGCAATACCCCATGGCAGCAGGGTGCTGGTTCAGCTTTCCCACTCAGGAATGTGTCCCAGGATCCTGTGCAGACCCCAGTGCAGGAACACCTGGCAGGTGATACTGGGCTCCTACCCACAGGCCTGCCTGCATGGGTGTTGCACTCACTCATGGAAGAGCTCAGACATTAGCTGTGAGAGTCAAAGTGCTCTCCTCTAATTTAAATCATGCTGCTAGTGTTGGACAGGAAAGGAGAAGAAAGAGAGAAAGAGGAAACTGTTTTATTAACCTTTTTCTTTTTTACTTTCATGTATTTAAATATTAAACATGAATATTTATTAGGAAAATAAAAAACAAAGGAAAGAAGCATTATGGAACAGAAGATGGAAATTAAATGAAATTCATATATCATTCAACAGGGCCATTTCTGAGATGAAAAACACTATTTGCTCCCCATCACCACAGTTGTCCAATTGAAACAGCAGGGGAACTCATACTATATTAGGTGAATATGATGTTATACAGTACAATTTGGGATTTCAGTGAAGCAAATATGCAAATAAATGATATTGATGTATTCACTAGAAATAAGAATTAATAAATAAAGTCAGAACATAACAATAAGAAAATAGTGTGTGAGAGAAATTTTCCATTTTCATTGCAAAGATAGTTTATGCATTCCATAAAATAGTGTTGTAGTAGCCTGCATGCTTAAGAATGTCATCAAGGCAAGGTTTGTAGACAAGCTGACTTAGTTGGGAAAAGAATAGACAAGATCTTGGGCACTCATGTCTTCAAACACCTCCTCCAGATCCCATTTGATAAAGGACCTGACTTCCCCCCATAGAGCTGTACAGACCATGATAAGCCACAAAAACCATGACAATCTAGAATGTGTATTGTGCAGAGATGTAGGAAGAACCTGTAGACTTCAGAGATATCTACAAAGTGATATATCAGCAGTGCTTTAGCAAAAACCTCCCTGCACAGCACCCAGTACAGGGCTTTGGGAGGAGGAGCAGTTTGGAACTAAAAAAGCTCCATGTGTTCTCTCCTTTTCATTGCTTGTTTTGCAGATGCAGTGGAGAGAGGGTAATATGTCTTGCTTAGCAAGACCATTCTCCATTTTGCATCAGTTTCTTATGTAAATAGGTCTTCCTAGTGAACAATCCATCAGTCTACCTACTAATTCATCTGTTTACTCAAAATCATCTTCAGACAGGAAACATGTTCTATTTTATGAAAATAGATTCTCTTAGGCTTTTGTCTCAGTTTTCTTCATGTCTTGACACTTAATCAAATTCATTTTGTGAAATGTACTGCATATGTTTTAAATAATTCATCATCTTGTACCTCTGCAATCAGTCAGAGAATGTCAAAGTGATACAAGAGCCTGTAATTTGTTATTATATTTTTATGGAGATGCAGGGCTGGATCATGGTATTCCTCCACAGCAACTCAGAGCAGCATATGAAAAGGAGGAAAGACTGCAAGTTTTTGCCAAAACTAAATTCTATGTGTCCCTAAGGCCTTGAAAGCTTCATCTCTGCTAGTGGATTTGTCCATAACTGAACCTGCCTCTGCACTGTTGATGTGTTCACATTTCAATATGCTCAGTTGCCCAAGCTACCTCCTGTGCCAGGGTGACACAGCTTTTGGAGAGGACTTGTCTCAGCACATCCCTCAGGCTGTGCTTGTTGAGGGGACAGATTGGTAGACAAACACTCAGTTCATGAATCACACCCATGACTGGTTTCTGAGCACTTTGATCCCATTGGAAGCAACTTTGCCAGCTCAGGTGTGGCTGAGCCAAGCAGTGTTGCAAGGTGTATATGCCTGGGTGCTGGGAATGGGGGATTTAGCTGCCTGTCATCATCCAGCCTTGACTGAGAGGGAGTTTGTAATTGTAAGCTTGAAGACATTAAAAGGAGCAGTTTCTGTCTTTCAACCCTTTTGCTCAGGCAGCAGGACAGTCTTGGCAGAGACTATCCTTGGCTCCCACCCGACTGCAGGCCCAAGTGAACAGGTCACTGTCACAGGCTGACAAATCCAGTGGCCAGTAGAGGCAAGGCTGCTGCAGGTCCCTGGCCCAGGGCCACTGTCAGTGGGGCTCAGTGTGTGTTCCCAGTAGGCACATGAGCACAAGCACACTCAGCACATATCTGGGTACACACGTGATCAGTTCCACAAAAACACTCAACACACACACAAACACAACCAGCTCCAAGGGCCTCATGGAATACATATATATACAAACACATTTTAAAATGTATTTTATTTATATATATATATTTATACATTTTTTATGGACACCTATTCAGTGTGGATCCCTCCAGCCACTGTCCTGAGACACTCAAGTCTACACAGTAGCTGGTCCTTGAATCCTCTCATCTCCAGCTGCTCTTGCACAGACACACAGTCAGGTCTCTCAGCTGACTTCCAGGCTCCACAATAACCCCAGTAGCTGGCCAGGACCCCTGGTCCCTCCAGTAGCCAATACAGAGATCTCTGGTGCCTCCAGCATCCAGACCAGGCTTCTGGTTGCTTTGGTATCTGTCTCCTAAAGCCTTTTATCCTACTCCCCTGTTACTCCAGCTTGACATTTACCAGCGATACACCTAGACTCCCAACACACATGTGCACACAGAGCAGAGAGTCTCTCACTCATGAAAAGCCTCTGAAGTGGAGTTCAAGGAGAAGACAAGCCCTTCTGACCAGGTGCAGGGCATGGCCAGCCAGACAAAGCGACCAGCCAACCCTTGACATGTCACTGGCCCCTTTTATCCCCTTATCATTGTGTTTTTACACCTTTATTCCTTTCCAAACCACCAAGATCCCTCCCCTTCTCCCTGCATTTTCCTCCTCTAAAGATCCCACAGTAAATCTTATGCACTTCTCTGTGTCCCATGCTGTGTCATGTATCCCTTACCCCTCTCAGTCCATACAGCCTTTCCCTTTAGCTCAGGTGTGCCCCAGGCTGAGACTCCCCAGGACAGCCCTGAGAGGGGCTGCACTGGGGGTTTTGGGGTTCCCCCCACTGCCTCTGATCCACATGTTCCTGTGGCCAGGCTTTAGTCACACTCCCCAGCCACCATGGGAAGACACTTTTGAGTGTGCCTCAGGCTCTGCCCATTATGGACAGCTGCCTGACAGCACTTACCCTGGAGGGAAGTGAAATGTAGCTGTGCTTAAAGCCTTTGGTAGGCTAAAGCCTAAATAAATATTTATCAACGGCCAAAGGTAGAAGAAAGAGATAATAAAAATACATCTTTTGAAAGGCTCCCTGTCCACCAGTATTCTGCAGGAAGGTAAATTTAAATTAATGTTGCACTTAAGCATTGCTTTGATTTTAAAAACAATGAATGGGCCCGGGTACATTTCCAGTGACCTGCTGTAAACCTGGTACACGCTTCATCACTAGGAAATTGCCAACATGTTATGATGCTCTGAAAATCTGAGAGAGGCAGCTCAGACTTTTTCTTCTCTTCATCCAGTCTCACTTTCCCAGCAAGTGGAGATCAAGACCCACAGAACTTGGTCTGCCTCTGCCATGGTTGTCAGAGCATCACCGTGGTCCCCCTCACTAAACCAACACTTCAGCCTCACACAAGGACCACAGAGGAGAGGGTGAGGGATTGGGAAAGAGCAGGATCCAACATCACAAAAACAAGCTTGTTATTTTCTTCCACTACAAGACAGCTGGATTCCCATTATAATTAGACAGATATGGAAAAGCCTCATGGTAACCCCCACCAGTCTTTTTTTGACACAGTTCTGTGATGATTGCCATACGCATCAAGAGAAGAGATTGCAAACTCAGCACTGCCTTTTTGTTTTGTTTCCATACAGTTCCATAAAACCCATAAGGGGTTTTACCAACCCAGAGCAGAGGGAGGTGCTCCTAATGGTGACAGTGTTTCATGATATCCCTTGTTTGTCTGGCCACAACCAGTTGCTTTAAGACCATGGCAAATCATTACATCTGATAAACTCTGTTAACCAGAGATCTCCCCAGATTCTCAGTCTGTCAAGAAAAGACATTAATAAATTGCCATTACCACAGGGCTTCCCTATGTGGTCATCCACTAAGACCCTTGGGGAAAGAGAGAGCCCTGGGACAATCTTTACTCACTTTGACTCGTTGGGAAGCCATCCACCCAGTGCAGAATCTGGTCTTGGCACTTAGTCTGCTGCCCTATCTAAACTACAAATTAATGTTAAACATAAATGTTATTTATCGCTAATTAATTATTAAGGCAATGTGTAACAGCACTCAGGAAAGAGCATATTGGTGTGTGTCTGGATGCAACCCAGCCGTCCCTAAATCATGCTGAAAGCTGACTTCCCTCCTGCGTTAAGCACATTACTTCAGTCTCAGTGTTGGTACATAAGGAGAAGATTTGTCACCCTTCTGGAAAATCAATAGGCTCTTGGCAAACTGGCTTCAGTGCTGTTAATTATCCTGATGGCATCATCTGCCCATCTACCAAACTGCAGCAGGAGAACCACCCGGCCTGAGGGCCCTCTCAGTGCCTGCAGAGCCCTGGCACAGCTGGGCTTGCACCTCTCACTGCATGTGAAACAAGCCCAGCTGAAGGTAGAGGAGACCTGGGGACTGGGAGTGCAGAGTTCATGGAGAACTCTGTCATGTCTCCTCAGTATTTCTGTTGCATGTCTGGGGGCAGTGCCTCTGCCTGATGCCCAAAACCAGCTGCATGTTCACAGGAAAAACAGAGGAGTAAAAAATGCTGAAAATTCCAGACACCTGAGGCATCACTGCTGGTGTGTGCAGCTCCCCAGCACCTCATCAACATGCAGGGGATGAAGACATCCCATGGCAGCAGCTCCACTGGCTATGGACTGTCACTTGTCACCACATGAGACTCTGATGTGAGTGCCCCACCTGCCCTGTGGGGAAGGGTCTTCTCCTTCTCATCCTCCTAAAGCAGCTCAGTGCTGCTCCAACAGACAGGAGCAACAATCTGTGGGGAAACCTTCTGTGCAGGGCCAGGACAGGCTGGAGAGGCTGGAGCTGAACTCCAGGAAAGGATGAAGCAGGTGAAAATCTGTAGCATGAGCAAAGGAGCTCTGGCCAGGCTGCAGCAGAAGTCCTGGCTGCTGCCTCTGGAGATGTGCTCAAAGTGCAGCAGCTGCCCGGCTGCTGGGATGGGGAAGGGATGGGGCAGGACCCTCACACCACTGCTGTGGCTTCCCATCCACTCCTCCCTCCTGCATTCCCCCAGTGCCAGCAGCATGTGGGACCTACCGAGAGCCAGGCTGGGCCAGCGGGCTGGGGACACGGGCAGGGCCCGACTTCCTCCTGCTCCGTATTAATCAGTGCTTTTCTGAATCACTGACGTGGTTTGGCTGTGGGATATCAACTATGAGATTCAGAAATTAATTCAACTCGGGAGCTTTGGATGACTCAGACTGCTGTGAAAACACCCCGGGGCAGAAATGAGATGTAGGGAAAATTCACCCTGGGGGTATCTCTCAATGGACTTTAACTGAGGACAAATTTAATTTGCAGAACTGAAGCATATTTTATTTACTTTTTTAAACTAGTACTTTAAATTGAAGTATTCAAATACGTAATCAAGATGCTCTTAATGGGTTGCTTTTAT